GTAAGTTTCATTGTTGTTATTTCTCGTATTATTCTTTTTGTTTTAACGCTAGTATAACGTTGTATGCTGATTAATTCAACTATACTTAAACAATTATCAGCTAATTTTCGTTGTTTATCTTTAACATTTCGCAATATATCGATCGATTTAGATATTGTATAGACATAAGTCTATTTTTTTCGTTTTAAATACCAAACTTTTATTGCAGATTGTTCTCTTCGTTCTCGAATTAATTCAATTTTTTTGTAACAACAAATATACGAAGAGCAGTTACCAATACACCAATTAAAGCAGTGATGGAAACCACAGCTAATTAATTAAAATTCTCGAAAAAAAATATTTTCAAAATCTATTCCACTTATTCCATCCACAGTACGTTGATGATGTAAGATCTCCATAACCTACAAGAATATATGTTAATTTTTGATGAAAAAAAATTCTCATTGAAGACACATACCAACAGTAGTGTATGTAACAATAAATAACCACATTGAATCAAACATGGATATATGTTTAGCTGCATGTTGATAATCACAAGCACGTATAGACCAACTTCCAATAAAAAACATAAGAATACAAAATATACTTAGACAACGTATTGGCCATTTTTCAACATATATTTTCATGAGAAAAGTAAAGTTAATAGATACTTGATTAAGAGAATCAAATGATTTTAATGGTACATCACGAACTAAATATGAATGAAACATAATACAACGACATATTAAATAGAGAGACGAGCAAACACTATTAACATATAGAAAGTTATTTTTAAGATTTTGATTTTGAGAAAATAATCTCATATTTACTTGGTAAACTAAATGCAACATCAATATCTATATATGATGGAGATGCAGATATTGATGAAAAGAAATTAGATAATGTTGAATTTACTTTTATTTCTCGATGCTCCACTGTCCAATTATGTAGCGAATATCGAGATATTGGGTGAATAAAACAAATTAGTATTTCTAATATAATTAGAAATATTTTCTTAACGTAAATTCAAATGATGATAATAGACTACAAGATCAATAAGAATAGTAGTTGAAGTTGTAATAATCAATTTAATACGCCAACTATTTATAGTGTCTTTATTATAAGATCTAGCAAAAGTGATCTCGTTTTCGATAATCATGAGAATTATACTCAGAAGACCAAGAAAACACATGACATCACTTATAGAACAACTACATAAAATGAGAAAATGCAAAATAAGCTCAAAGAAAACATTTCTTACAGTCTATTTCGTAAAAATTTTCGTACAGTTAACTGATGAGTTATGATAGTCAGTGAAATAGGTTTGGTAGGTATTGGTTTCTTCGTTGATATTCGATAATATTGAAATCTATTAATTGTTTTATCACTTTTCGTTAATGGTGAGATAGGAAACATGGGTGGTGTTGATTTATGAATCATAGTGGTTCTTGTCTATAATGATGATGTTTCATTACGTGATACAATATCTTTAATACTATATGATGTGTTAGATTTAAGAGGTTCGATCAATTACAGATGAAAATCTTCTGTAGATGTCATCGATATATTCACCTTTAGTAGTGCAGTGTAAAACTGTAATCAAATTAGTTCACTCAATTACCAGAAGTTCGCTGACCAAAAAAAAAATCTAAAAGTATAAACTTATTACAAGTATTGGTAAGTGACAATCGAAAGAAAATGTTTTGGACCGAAAAAGAACAATCAATCAGTCAAATATTTCTTTTTATTTTTTATGTTCTTGTTATGTCAGGAGATGTCTCTCCTGACATAAGGAAGCTCCATGTATTCTCTTGTGACGTTATCACTGTACATCAATGGTATTTCTACTCTTCTTTCTCGATGGTACTTTCATCATGGATAAAGAAAGATAAAAGAATGGAATAAGAGACAGAGAGAATCACATTCTTTGCTGCTTTTTGTTTTTTGATTCATTCGAATAAAATAAGAGAGAAAAGAACATAACAGTTCTTATAATAAATTTCTAATGATCTCAAATACGACTATACATTTACTCTCACTACAATCTGCAGAAGGAATTTTATTAATAATCATTACTTCTATCGTTACTGAGAAATTCATCTGCTGTTATTGTACGATTGACATTCAATTCATACATATGCATATAAAAATAAATAAACGATCGTTTTTCTTACTAGCATATGCATACAAGAAAAAAAAGAGAGAAACATAAGACAGAATGTATTAGTGTATGTGTACACAAGAGATTAATAGTGAATCATTGTTGATCAGCCAAAAAAAATTCAACTGATCAATGATCTTGTAGTGATTCTACATACTAAATACTTCGGCGGCGAAGTTCATAAATTTACGGTTTCAAAATTTAGAAAAGAATGTCCTTAATTATACTAAAGCAGAATATTTTCGTACGTTTTGTGCTTAATCATATGTGTCGTTGGTAACAGCTTTATGCATTAGCGCTCTACACAACATACCAGGATATATAGTTCACTACTCTGAAGTATAGATGCTAAGCCATTATGCGTAAGATACTCTCATTGGCTCATTTGGAACTATTCACTTTATCTATCATTATAGAATATTCTGTAGGAGTCTAATAAATAGGTACATTTATAGTACAATTTTCTTGTTTGCCAAACCGTCTCATAGTTTCGTATTTTGGCTGATAAATCTTGCACAATTCTGCAGGATTGGTAGAACCCCTTTGGATTTAGCATTTTCAATCAGAGAAGTTGTTATGATTCAGTATCAAAGAGCAGGACCTCCAGTGTTTAACATTTTTCCTCAGAGGATATTTTATAGTTCTGCATCATTGTACGGAACTTTCAAGGATTTTTCACTGTTATAAAGAACTATAAATTGGTTCTGTATATGCTGCAGAACCAAAAATAGTTCCGCAAAGCTTCGTTATTTTTTTCAGAGTAGTACGGACGAGTTCGCCTACTAGTTTAACAATAATATTCTCTAGTTTGAGTTCGATCTGCATATCATTGGAAAATTTGGCTGTGCCTAAAATAAGTTCATCTATTTGATATATAGCGTTATTGCCTTTCTCGAATTGAATAGAAATATTTAGTGGTAATGCACTCAATCGAGAACCCATGATTATAAACATGAAAATACGATATTCGATATAAAGATAAAAATGAAGACAACAGAACCTTTTTATATCTATTTTCATTCTTGCGTTATATCTCCGAAACTTATTGATATAGAATGAAATATGACATGTTTCTTTTTTTGACTCATATCTGTTGACCTCCATGGCATCATTTACCCTTTCAATTTCTGACATCAATCAAAGAAATAATTCTTATGCTTTTTCTCACGTCTGCTTATTTTCTAAAACGAAGCTGCCATTGGAAATGCTCAGATCTTCTAATACGAGAATTTTTTTTATTTGTTGTACATATAAGATGAAAATGTATATTAAAATATTTTGTATCGAATAATCGGTTCAAGGTCAATTATTGCTGTTGCTATCGAGCCATCTTTTAGTCTCTTCTAGCGAAGATGATTCTTCTCCGTACTTTGAAAACCAGACATCTTTCTCATATTCAGCTAATTGATCAAGAAAATTAGAATTTGGTTGAGTTATAAAGCGTAAATATTTCACATGCTGATATGACTTCAATAGCGATAATCCTTGTGAATCCATAAGATATGCAATGACAATTGATGGCGATCGGCTCTTACCTTCGATGCAATGTACAAGAATTTTCCCTCCTTCTTCTTGAGCACTGTAAATGAATTTGAGACCAGCATCAATATGGTAGAGAAGAGATCCTTTTTTATCAAGTCGATCCTCCAAGTTTAAATTCGCATATCTATCAAGAACAATGTTTGTGTCAAAATGGAGAATTACTTTATTATCATCAACAGATTACAACTTACTTAAACAATTGCGGATAAATATTTTTGAATGTCGAGCCAGTACAATTCAAAATATGAGTTATACCCAACTTTTGAAGTTCACTCTTACTGGATGCACTACGACAACTACCCAAATAAAGAAAATTCGGAATAATACAGTGCGTAAGATCATCATTGAATGGATCGACAACAGGATTCTCGACTTTTTCTGATGCCATGACTTCATGTAATTATAGTCTACAATTAAAGTATAAAGAAGACAGTGAAATTTACAGTGAATTTACTTCCATCGGGATAAGACAACTTTAAAATAAATGATAATTACGAGGATAAATCGATCAAGTTTTTTGTAGTGCTTCTTCAAAGATTAAAAAATTATTCGATTTCTACAGAGAAGACCTCATTAGCACACATGCGTAAAATTTTTCTTGCGATAGAAACCCTTGAAAATATGATGTCATGTGAATTTATCTCTTAATCGAACGCACCATATATCTAAACTCGAATTCCTGATCCTCAAAATATTCGTTTTAAACTCTATTTTGATCTGTAACTCGCGAAATGAATGAGATCCTTCAAAAAAACAAGTTTGTAGTAGTGCATACTGGAATAGTTAGCTGAATGGGACATGATTCGATGTTGACTAATCTGCTTCTCAGAATGGTCAAAACAAATAGAAATATTCGGCAAACGATTATCAGAAAGAAGCAGAAGAAATAGTTGGTGTTGGAGCGTCACTCTCTTCGTTACGTCTGCTCTTGTCTTCACAAATGCTTGTATGATCGTATGAATCATTCAACAGTGAAAGAGTAATCAGAACAGAAAAAAAGATTCATGTTGAGATATTGTCTTGCACAACCATAACACAATTCAAAAGTAATTGCGATTATAGGATGCAATAACATCAGTAACTCAACACGTTGAAAAATACTCGTGCACATACATCAACGTGTGCTCTGCTTGTATGAGTAAGATAATCATACAGAGGAATGAGTTTTAAATGACCTATTGCAACAGAAAAAATGGTGACTTTTTTTCCCTAAAAGTAGTTTCTAACTCAGCGTTTCCTGGTTATCGAACTCTTTTTATTTCTCGTTCTTCTCCTTCCAATCTAAGTTAACGTCTCCTGCTATAAGGGTGTGGATGTGGGTGTGGGTACTAATATTTTCTGTATTCACCCACACCCACACTTATACCCACCCCATATCCCAACTCGACGACACAATAATTGATGGAATATTGTTACTACATACTTTCTAAAGTATAATTAATGCTGTATGCACTCTCGATAACTGATTGTAAGAGGATGCAATCTTATTTTTTTACTGTCTTCTTTTGAAATTCGATACCAGTAAGAATAAGGATTTTTCTAAAATATAACAGCTGGTTGAATGAAATTTCAATGAACAATTGTGTAGCTTCACAGAAAAGAAATATAGAAGTTGAAACATAATGAACAAATAGAATATCATTTGATCTGAATTCAATGATTTGATAGATCGTAAGGGAGCAGTATTTAAAAGATGCTCTGATGAAATGATAAGTTTTTCTTTAACGTAAATACATGAATCATTTTGATTTTCTACTAACGTTGCTTTTCATCAATTATTGAATAGCTTTATCACAATTATACAATCTATAATATGTTGCAAGACTCTCAATATGAAATTAATTTTCCAACATTCATAAATCAAACCATACAGTAGCAAAGTATAAATTATGCATATAGAAAATTTATCTAACGAGGTTTTCTATGATATATTTGATTATCTTGGTGATTGTGAAATATATAAAGCATTTTTCAATCTCAATCGTCGTTTTGAAAATTTTCTCTTTTATTCAAATTTTCAATTGAAGTTTAATCTTTCTTTGAAATTCAAAACAATATTTCCATCATATTGTCATCAGATTATTATTCCTAATAGACATCGAATCATTTCATTTCGTTTATCTAAAATATCGGCTATAAAAAAATTTATGAAATACATTACTCATCATTTATTATTTTGACCATCTTCAACCATTCATTATGAATATTATAACAAAAGCGAAAGTTGAATAACTTCTTACTTACCTAGATTGCCTACTACGGTTGGTCTCATTGGTAATAAATATTAGAGGAAATTTGCAAAAATTTAAGTCATATATATATAACTCAAGTTTTCAATTACCTCCCTTAAAATATTGTAAAGTTTCATTGAGAAAATGTCAAAGATTCAATTTTCATTCGATGGCTCCATATAACTCCACCAGTTCTATTCAACGTCTTGTTATTGATTACTCCTGCACACTCGAACTTTGCCACCTCACTTATAGTAATATCTGTGATTCTTTACAAAACATATCGACAATTACAGTGACATCACTCTCCAAGTTGTCTCATATTTCTATCAGTAGTTGTTATGTGCCTTTTATAGATTTTGAACGATTTGTCATTAACATATCTTCGCGATTACAAGTATTGAATATAAATATATATGAAGATATAGCTTATCTGAACTCTCGACGATGGAAATAATTTATTTTACGATATAGCTATACTTACACAAGCTCAATTTAAATATCAAAGTATATTCGATACTCAGCAAAGTGAACAACTTTCAGTATTAGTCTGTGTATTAAAGTCACCATTTTGGAGAGAATAACAATGGCATGCTAAAGTACAACCTCGAGTATCTTGTTACTCTTGAGGATGAGGGTGAGGATGAGAATAAAGAAAATATCTATACCCACTCACAACCTAACCATATGTTGCTCCGAATATCTTTCTATAAACTATTTTGTGGAAGTAGATAGATGGAAGATATTTATTTAATAATAAAATGAACAAAAGGACAACTATTGGCGTGGAGCAATAAAACAACAGGTGTTCGTAGCCCAAATTGGTTGGTTATTATTATCATAGAAAACTAAATTGCCATCATCCTGCAATGCCAAACGGCCACGATCAGCGTTCTAAATAAAAGAAAAGGAAAACAGAATGAGAAGCAGAAGACCTTTGATTCGTTTTTACTTGTCTACGTGTGTTTGAGGCCCAGCTAGCTTGGTTGCTGCCATCGTAGATGACCAAGTTGCCATCAGGCTGTACTTCAAAGCGATGAGGACCTCTTCTGAACGAACCTGTCGTCCAGAGAGAATTGGCGGGCACGGTATTGTCAGAAACGTAGAGCACGAGATTTCCATCAGTTTGCAGTACCAAACGGTAGGCACCGTTTGGAGATGTTAGTGCTTCATCCTGCTCGAGTTGTTGACCTGGTTGAAGAGTGTTCCGTGGAGCTGAGAAAAAAAAATTTGATACTTTCATTACAGTTTCTCTACACTATTGATCTTGTACGATCTAAAGAAAAGGTCCACGAACATACCTTGAATACGCCAGGCAGCTAATGCTTTACTTATCTGCTCCAATTGGTTTCTCATACAGCTAAACTGACCTCCTCCTAAATTGTTGTGTTGTCTTTGTCCGACCAAATGGGTCCAAAGAACAGCCACCTGAGCAAAATTATCGGCGAAGTTGGAATTACCATAGGGGTCAGGTACACACTCATCATTCTGAACAGCAGAGCGCCAAACTTGTGTTGCTGATGTACCACGATCTGCGGAGTGTGCTGATTCATGTATGAACACGGAAATATGCATATCTGGATGGCAATAGAAAGAAACATCTCCACTGGATCCAGCCCCACCACATTTTCCCGCTGTGGCTGAAATCATAGCTCTATTATGTCGTCGAATGGCATAAGGAACTCGTCCCATCATTTCGATCATATATTGAGCGCTCATAACTGCATTAGGACACATGCATAAAACGAGCCGTTGATTACCTATGCCATGGTAAGTAATCGTGTGGACACTTTGGGGAGCGGCACCACTGCAATGGCAGAGTGACGCATCACCGCCAGGAGTAGAAGTATATGGTGGAGTTTTGAGAAAACTAAAATTGAGTTCATCACCTAGACCCGGGAGTAACGGGCGTTTGTTGAGATTTTGTTTACTGAGACGCACCAGCAACGACAAAATAATCATAAAGACAAAGAAGAAAGTGCTCTTTGTCAGCATGTTATATATGAATAGAAAACGTGCTTTCGTTGACAGTAAGTAGAAGACTTTAATATTTTCTTATTTTTTTTCAATATTTGTATCAAAGGTTATTTAAAACCCTGGAAAACAACACATCTGCTTATAC